GAGCCGAGCCTGCGCGCGTTGTGTCCGGCGGCCTGTGGGCCGCTGGCCGTGCGCGGCTCCTCGTCAGGCCTGAGGGGCTCTGCCACCGCCGCCGCTCTCCCCTCCTCCCGGTTCCCGGAGGAGTAATACTCCACTGACCCCAGGGCAGGGCCCAAGGCTCCTCCGTGCTCCGCGGGTTTGACCAGGAGCTCTCCTCGGGCAGCTCCCGGCACGCCCCAGCCCTGCCCTTGCCTGTCAGTCGCTGGGGGCTGACATAGACCGGGCCCTGCCCAGCTCCTTCCAGTCACTTCTTGTGCCCCTGTGGTGCTCCTCTGCGCTCTTCGGGCTCCTAAACCCGCAGCAAAGCAGGCCTGCCAGAAGGAAGCCGTTTCTTCTGGAGGACCAGCTCCCTTCACGGCTCACTGCAGGACCCGACAAGCCTTTCCAGCCGGGGAGGCGGTGGGAGGGCAGACTGAAGGGGATGGAGGGGTCTCGGGGCACATAGCAGCACCCACCTGGGCTGCCATGAAGGACCAGGGAGCCAAGCTGATGGTGGTGTCTGGGCTTGGCCTCGGAAGCATCTGAAGATGCCGTTTGAAGATGGGTCGACAGCCTTACTTAAAAATTAGGGAAGCGATGTTCTTCTTCTTTCAACGGGCTAAAAAATCAGAACGATCGATGGTTACTCATCTGCTTTTTCAAATCTTGCAACTAGGAAAAGCGTTTAAGTCATTAACAGACAATTGAAGTTTAAGATAAGTTGAGTCTTCCGCAGCTTTTCTTTAAAGGATAGGCACCATATTTCGGTTTCTGACCTGGTATTTCATTTATCACCCCAGAGTTCTCAAAAGTAACTCCTAATGATTTTGTAGTTTAATGACACATTTTCATGCATACTACCGCTCTACCTGACATTTCCAGTTTTTCCACACGCAGACACAGCCTACCCACATAGACCTTTTCAGCATCCTTGAGGTTTTCTGGATTTTTTCCTAACAGTGATACCAGTCTCTCACCGTGCATTGACGCAGGCCTATAGCTGAATCTATCCAGTCTCAGACAACAGGTTATAATAATGGGGAATTCAAATGCATCTCTGAAAGCTTTTATATTAACATTAAAATTCATATTTAAATAGAATTACCAAAACGTGTTTCTCTTGATAAAACTGTTGGTGACTGAGGAATTTTCTGTATTTTATCACATCCTTAGGAATATGTTGAGAGATTAATGTATAGAATGGTTTTATTCAGTAGAGTGGCTAAAACTTCAGAGTGCAAAAGTCAAATGCAGTTTTATTATACTTTATATTACAGCAGTGTTTCCAAAATGTCATGGTATATTAATCTTAGTGTTCTAAACCTCACGTGTATGTCCCCTATTTGTCCTATTCCTTGTCATTTTTTTTCTTTGTTCCTAACTGTACGTCTGTTTTGATTCTCAGTAGACCTATTGCACACCAAAAAGTACATTTATAGGAGTGGGGCAGAAACTAGGGGGAAAGATAGATGGAGATCCCTTATCTAAGCTTATATTTAGAACAGGACTAAACAAAAGTTTTATTACTATTACATTTACATTTTTCAAAACCTAATCTAAACATAGGATTATGCCTCCTGGTTAGAAATGCTGCTTGGGTTTACATTTCATAAAACTGTTCTGGTAACTGATGTTATCAACCTTTTGAGTGGGAAAAAAACCCCTGAGGGTCAGTAAAGATAAAAACTTAGTATTAAATTTAAATTACCTATTTAAAATTCAGTATTGAGGAAGGGAAAGAAAGGGAAGATTGTGTTTAGGGAAGTTTATTTTTAATGCTTTCGTAGCTTTGATTGATTTTGTCTTCTATTAAATTGGAGCATGATTTTCCACCTGCACAAAGCAACAATATGACATTCACTTAGGAAGACACAAAATCTATAACAGGCAGAGAAAAGCAAAAATATTTCCAATTTGCTAGTAAGTAGCTGAAAATCAGAAAAGTAGAAAAATCATGGAGGTGTGAAACCTGTAAAATCTAGACATACTAAAAATCCCACTAGGCCCAGCAAAACTATAGGGTAGTATTACGAATTAAGTTTTTGACACGCTGCAGGAACATGAAAATTCTAGTAAGGAACATGATGGATGTCACTAAAGCCAGATCCTTAAAACGGGACTTTGATAACCTACTGTGGGACCTAGGCAGACTTTAGGCATCATGCTGCTAACTGCTGTGTTTCATCCTGAGGAAAATAATTGTACTGGGTAGAAACCTGTGTATTGATTGTTATCAGCTACTGCCCAGTTTTATAGAAGTTATAAATCTGCTGGTAGATGGATTTAGTACAAGCATGTAGATGATTATGTGATCCCACACGGTGCCCATATCTGCTTCCAGCAATAGGTACTTGCTTGATTCCCAGTTAGAGCCTGACACTTCCCTGCTGGCCCCAGCCACAGCCTCTCTGGCCTCATTTCCCACCCGCTCTGTACCAGGCAGGGGCTTCCAGAAACTGATTTTTGCCTTCCACACTGAAGGTGTTTCCATTCCTACGTACAGTAATAGTACAGCCACATGGCTGACAAGAAGTATAGGAAATAGGCCCTTAGAGTCTAGAGTTAAGTGTGATACAGAAGGATATGAATTCTTAAACTGCAATTCTGCATTGCAGGGGGGACCTTTATTATCTTTGGGAAATATGACTAAGGACATACAGAAATAATACTGAAAATAAAGCTAGCTACATTTTTCCTTAAGTCTTTAATACCAACAGAGACCATAGTAATTGAAAGTCTCTGAAGTTTGTCCTAGGCCTAACTCAGGATATATCATGCCTAATTCAGTCAGCCAGTTTGTTTAGCAGTGGTCTCAGACTTTTTTCCTGCTACATTCCAGGGTATATTCTGCGTCTCTATCCCAACTCCAACTAGAAATTTCTGATGCAGCATTTCTTAAACTGAGCAGGGGGAGGGGAAGTACCATCACGAAGCACGTTTGCAGTTGGGGAAGAAGAAGCACTTTGTTGTGGAGCCACTGCAAGTGGAAAGAGCAGTGTGTTCAGGAGGAAGTGTTTCAGACAGAAGCCAGAGCATGGATGACAAGGGAAGGGGCCAAATACACACAGAGCGGGAGCAAAAGGAGATGCTGAACTGATCCGGCATTGTCAGCGAGCTCTTGCTGAGGAGCAACATTCTAATGTGGCCATTTCTATCAGATGTGCTTCCTCTGCTTGTGTTCAGCGCTGTTGGTTTCTTCTGTTGGAGCCTGACAGCCTTTGGCCCTAGCCACGACTCCTCTGGCATTTCCCCCGCCCCCCTTTGAGCTCCCTAGTAACGTCTCTGTTTAAATATGTATATTCCCCCCAGTTTGAGAATGTTTGATTTAGAAATACACTAATTCTGTGCACTCAGGCTAGACTACTTTTAGTACAGAGATTGTTAGAGAGGGTAGGAACTGTGAAACAGGCCTCAGTTTTTCAAGAAGTCTAGAGAAGGTACAAGAAAAAGAAGGGAAGATGGAAAAAGTAGTTACTTACAAATGAAAGCCTAGCAAGCTTAAAATAAAAATACTGAGTTTTATTGTTTTAGCCAAGGTGATTATGTATCAGATTCCAATAATGCTACAAAGAAAAGAAATGTCATTAAAACCTTTTTATTCAAAGTTTCATATTTGTCTGTTTATTGTCCAGATAACTGCCCTGTAGTGTTAAATAAATATTCGTCAACCCCAGCTTGTCAAGAAGTAATCAAGGCCCTGTAATCATACAGAGTAATTCAGCCCATTACTGCATGGAATAACAAGTATGCCAATCATAGGTTATAAAGCATCTGGGCAAGACTCTCTTTTACTTAACATTTATAATTCAGAGTGTCTGCTTGATTAAGCAACATCTTTCCACAGCCGGTGATTGAATTTTCTCAGAAATGTTGCTGATGATGAATAAAGCTATCTTAGTGAAAGGTCATGATTCTAGTGCTTTGATTAAAATAAATCACGCAGAGATTGAATTAAGCAGAGGGTGTTTAGTATACATATTTACATTTCCAAAGACTCCTTTCTTCTCATGTTATGATATCATAGCTGGAAATACATTCCCTTGCCACTGAGTGGAGCTCCTTACGTATTTATTAGTACATTAACAACCTAGCTGAGCTTCTACTCACTGGTGACTTACTGGTGGTTATTTCAGCTTGTGCCTGACAGCTTTATGGACATAGCATTCAAGAAGTTACCAGATGCTTAATTCTCTAAAATGAATTGGCTAAGCAGGTGAATGGAAATCTCCAGGTGCCACAAGAGACAGCAGCAGGGCAGCCCCTTTGTTAGCAGACCTTGAATATGAGTTATTTTAATGTATTGTGAAACATTCAGTGTAATCTGTAGGCACATTGGTGGTCTCTACCTCTGTTAAGTTTTTCTTTGGAGAAATGTCCCCTACTAATTTGTACAGTTAATTTAGGGGGTGAGTGAGGAAGGAATATCTGTTTGCTGAAGGGTGATGTGTTACAGATGCTGTATGCAGATATGTGAGAGCAACTGCAGAGCATGTTGCTATGTTTTCACCAGGGGAATAATTACAACTGAGTGCCAGCCTTAAGCAGTCAGTTATCACTGAGTAACAAGATGAAAGATAAAAGGCAGATGTAATCATATTTCACAAATAATAGAATAGCGTGCTTCAAGTCAAGGAGTCCTTTCTAGATCAGCCTTTCACAGCAGGTGACCATATTTTTTCCAGTTTCATTCAACATATTGTAACGTAGAGCTAGGGAATGAGTGCTGGACCACGGGCACTCTTCTTTTTTGT